AGATGCATTTTCCAATTTGAAAAATAAACACAGTAGAGATATTAATCTATTGCTTCACTTTGCTGGGAGACAGAGCTATTTAAGTGAAGAAAAAGCATGACACCGAATAATAAGCAGCGCACATTCATCTTGTCTAGGAACTGGAGTTAGAGCCCACAAGAATTATCAAAAGATGACTTTTTGAATAAGTATATAAAATTCAGCGTGCATTTCCTTGAGGTGAAAAAAGACATATGAGGAAGGCCTTACAGTTGGGGGGGGAGGTAGAAGAAGCTTTTTAAATTATTCTTTGTTTATTCTGTTATTTAATTCAACAAAATCACAAATGCCAAATTGACATTTTCCAAGTATATTCCAAAACATGCCCCCCATTTAGATGAAGGGGGAAAAGAGACAGAATTTCTAACAGAGCTGTTATTTCTTTTCAGTCATCCTTTGATATTGTAATAGATAATAATTAGTTTTAAGCTGTGTAGAGGGCCTTTTGACCTATTTATTGATTTATTTCATTCTGATGGCTAGTGCTCAGGACTTTGTATTTATTTTCAGGTTAGGTCAAGTTGTGAAAGGCAAGCAAAAATTCTTTGCATTTTGAAGCTTTCTTTAATGTGTTGTAATAACCTGAAGACTGACTGTGTGTGTGTGTCTGAGCGGGTGTATATATATATATTTTTAAGCACATGTATATTTACATTGGGTATTAGCAAAGCTTGGGAACTTTGCTGCTAAGGAGCAGTTCTGCCTGTCAAATGGACAGATAACAACGTGCTTTCTGGAAAAGTTATATATTTTGTTCATAGAAGTGTCATAGAATTGAAAGAAAAATTGTTCCATGACACGTAGTGTGGGTCATTTCAAGAGGAGGGTAAACTAGAGAGTCATGATATGCACAAATAAGAGCTTTAATACAACTAATGCTCATCCTTTGAGCCTTTACATTTTATTAGAGTTTTACAGAACTGTTTTTTTCATAAACACCCATGCGATTTCTTTCACTACATGTGGCACTTTATTAAATAAACACACATTGAAAGTCCTAAGTAAGAAACAATATATCCTTGTCTTTAACAGAAGGCTGTCATATCTTACAGCAAATTATTTCCTTCCCTTATTCCTTCCTATCTCTTGAGGTTTGCACACCTCATATTTTATATCCTTAGGATAACTAGAAGCAATTAAGGAAACTATTGTCCCTCACCACTCCACTTTCTACCTTCTCTTTTTATATGTAAGAGAGAAAATTTAGAAGGCTACATACTCTTCAGGGATGGAACTGTTGATTATCATTAAGTAATATTAATCTTGTCCACATGATGTAGCTTTTTGCATATAGATTTCTTTCAGGGAAAGAGTGCCTAGTCTCTGTGTAATCCCACTTCTTAATTTCCAAATAAAAGAAGTACAAGAGGGGAAAGAACAAACCCTTTTGTGCTATTTGCTACTATTTAAGCAACAATACATCAGTATGAGAGGTGCATGTGAATCACAATGTGACAGCAGGCAAAAACACCTATGAGGATGAAGATATTGGGCTGCCAGTAACCATCGACCACAATTTCAGGGTCAAATTGTCATAAGAGGCTGAAAAACCATCTGGAACAAGATTGGAAAAATACTATGTTTGAGTTGCTTGTATAGCTAGTTGGAAAACAAGTTCTTACATGTACAGCAAAGGCAGCATAGACCAGTTGTCAGCTAAAATCATTGCATGCAGCTGGCATGAGACTCAGCCAAGTTTCTTCCCCATGTCAGCAGGATGAAGACTGCCAGTGAAGTGTTCCCTCTGTCACTTCTCTCTACAGGGAAGGGAAAAAAAAGAAAGCATGTCAATCACAGAGTTGCTGGCCCAAAAAAATTGTCCAGTGAACCACTGGCTCATTCAACTAACTTTACCAGAAACAACATCTCTTCTGCTCTGCCAGAGGAGACAGTGAGACAAACCTCTCCTTCCTCTTTTTTTTTTTTTTTTGTTTTTTTTTACATAAATCAAGATCTTGCAAAGTCACCATCCTGTCTCATTTAAATTCCCTTTTAAAGTACTGCTGTCCTTGTGATGCCATTGAGAAACCTGTAATTATCAGGACCATGTGGAGTAACTTAATTTTTTGTACTAGCGGCTGCAAAAGTCTCTGTCAAATGCCAGCATCTTGAACTCACAAGACCTAAATCTGGGTACTTTGGACTTATGATCTTTCCTCATTTCATGTAGCAGCAGCTTCACCCCTGTGCAAGAGGCAATTTAGGCAATTTCCTTGTCTGACTTTGTGCCAGCAGCTGCCCTCTCTCCTGCCTTTTCCTGGCAGCCTTTGCCTCCTGTGTCTTCCATGCTACCACCATGTGAATGGGCCAGGGAATGACTCGGGCTGGAGCAGCTGCTGTCATAGGCATTGAAAGGTGAGGGAGCAAGGCTGAAAAGCAAGGACAGAGCCCCCAAAAGCTGGACTGCTCCCCCTGTGTTGTAGGTGGGGGTAGTTCCCATCACTCTGTGAAGCTGGAGGAGCTGGGTGGTTATGCAGGCAGAGTTTCTGTCCGTACATTTGTTCCCCGTCTTCCCCCGGATGTTGCTGCAAGCCACAGGTTGGACCATCATGGTCTGTTAACAGCTTTGCATCATTGACCAGCTTAGACGCAATGATTATTTTTGTATTCTTAAAGGTGGCAAAATGTATTTTAATTCTCTGAAATGCTTCACTTCAGGCAAGCCTTGGGTGAAACAAAGAGATGAGACAGGGATCCCCCTCTTAATTATTGAACTGTGCACTCGTGTGTCCTCAGAAGCTTATGCATTTTGCTGCCGATGACCTGTGGTGGTTGAGAGAAAAACACAAATCTTGTCATAAGGAATCTGATATGGCATCAGGGTGGATGCTGTCATGTTCACTGGCTGCTAGTGTGTGGCGCTGCTGACTAGAAGACTTTCTACCTGTACAGCATATTGTTTTTATGCTTCTCTAGTTATCCAAGGGTAAGGTCACTTGATTTGTTAACAATTTATAGTGCGTTTCTTCAGACAGCTTCCAAGGCTGTGGGCAAATTTATTTCTGCATGAGGAAGTACCTGAAACAAATTGTGATTTCTCCATAGACTGAGGAGATAGTTACAAGAAACTCCCTTTCCCCTCTCTTCTCAGATATACACTAGGGGTAGGCATCATTACTCCATGACTGTACCTGTACTGTCTGTGCACTTTGTGATATGACATTTCTCAAGGAGTTTCTCAGGGTTTTCTGTTCCTTTTTTCCTTCTCTTTCAAGTTCTTTTGACAGGTTTTTTACTTCTACTGTTGTAGAGCTGGATCCTACTCCACAAGCAACTTTACAGCCTCATTTAAGTCAGCCTGTAGCACAAAATTCAATTTAGATCAAATAAAGGGAATGGAATCTGGTCGTGTAATACTGCAAATAATTTTTCTAGCTGTGTTTGGAAATAGTGTGGGTATATGGTCAGGAATGACACTTGCAACCATAGAACAGTGGTTTTAATTGCACTTTAAATGGACAGAAAATAACTGAAGGATTTTTACCATCATAGAAGAACCTTGCAGCAGTTGATGACCTGCCTTATCATTTAAGGTACTACAAGGGAAGCAGTAACATATTTTTTTCCTAGGCATTAGAGGCTGTAATTGGCAAAATAAACAGAAAAGCGAAAATGTAGGTCTTGCAGTGAAATGAAGAAATGGTAATATTTCACATTTTTCTCTGAAATAGTGTATCAGAAGCATTTCTCATTGAAGATGTTTGTGGTTCTTGAGAAAGAATGTGATATATTGTTTTAAAAGAAAAAAAAAAACAACCTACCTCTTCTGAAGGCAGTGTTGCGTATCAACTGCGTGGAAGAGGAGCCTAAGCCCAGGGGGAGGTTGGGTTCTCATTTATTCCTTGCCACTTTACGCTTAAATTCTGCCAATGTAAGTATAACTAAACACTGCAATAAAACGTACTTTGATTCACACTTGAGCAAGCTCCCTGTGGCTAGGGCAAGCTCAGGTTAGCCAAACATGATCGGAGCGCTGGATCGGGTAGTCTGATAGAGAAGTTCTTTCCAACACTCAACAACACAGGCAAAACTACAGTTTTATTTTGATTTAGTTGATGTTCGACATCAGTGAAAATAAAACTACAGCATTCTCTGGCTATGCCACAGCACTGCGGTGTGTTAGTGGATTGCAAAAATACACCCATTTTCCTACTGCAGTGCCATCAAGCTCCACTAACCCCAAGCAAGTTTTCCCTTTTCCATACTTCATCAGCTGTAATACTGTGCAGGTCAAAGAGTCTCATTTACTCATCTGTATGTCCTCCAGTGTTTTTAGATGCAGCTTTGCTGCTCGCCTGTGCAAGTATAATTAACCTTCACTGCCCCTGGCTGTGCCAGAGGGATGTGAGGGAGTGCAGAAGTGAGCAGGGCACACAGCTCCAGTGTGTGTGCATGCAGGGGGATGGTTGCCCTGCAAAATCTACATTTTTCATATGAAGATGTGGCACGGTTTTCTGAGAAGATTATTCTTGCCTTTTAGTTTTGGAGATCGAATCTTCCTTCTTACACAGCCTTTTGCATGCATTTGAATTTTATCTACACAACCTTGACTGAAGAGGTGACTTTTTAATGGTGTCAGCCTGACCCTGGAAAATGACAATGTCAACAGCAATTGTTATGCAGGTCTGTCAAGGTTAAACCAATTTTATCCTATTTACTCATGTCACTGTTTGGCTTGTGATAAATAGGGTTGTACTTTTTAAAAAATAGGATATTTTTCCTATTTTTGTTTCCTACATATGGAAATTACTTTCCTGGTTTCTTCTCTTACTTATTCACAGAATCACAGCATAGGTGAGGTTGGAAGGCAGCTCTGGAAGTCATCTGGCCCAATCCTCCTGCTCAAGCAGTGCCACTGAGAGCTGGTTGCCCAGGACTCTGTCCAGTTGGGTTTTATGTACCTCCAAGGATGGAGACTCCACAACCCACCTGGCCAACCTGTGCCAGTGCTTAGTCACCCTCACAGTAAAAATGTATTTCCTAATGTTCAGAGGGAACCTCCTGTGTTTCAGTTTGTGCCCACTGACTCTGGTCCTGTCACTTAGTGTCACTGAGAAAGGCATGCCTTTGTCTTCTTTACACCCTTTAATTCTTTCTAGCTCATTACATGCACTTGAAAGTATTGTTTGGAAGTATGGGCTTGTGGAATATTGCTGATAGTCAGCTCAGAACTTTTTCAGGTTTTTTGATCTTTTTTTTTCCTCTTAATTTCCTTACTTGAGTTTGCACTTTGTAAGAGGCTGCCTTGCAAAGCATGGCTCAAAATAACTGTGTAAGGAGCTCTGGGAGAAGTCTCCACTCCTACCTCTACCACTATTAAAAACCGGGAGCTGAACACTTTTAGTGCTTGTTTTTCCCTCAGACACCTAGCAGTTGTATGAATTAAATGGTATTTTGTGGTATCCTAGAATCAATAATAATAGATTAAGTTACTAAAGCTTTTCTTATTCCAGGATTCATGTTCTCCTTTTTGAGATATTATACACTAACCGTCCTGGGCTGCGTCAAGAGAAGTGTGGCCAGCAGGTCAAGGGAGGGGATTCTTCCCCTTTACTCCTCTCTCAAGAGACCCCCCCTGCAGTGCTGTGTCCAGTTCTGGGGCCCCCAACATAAGAAGGACATGGACCTGCTTGAGTGGGTCCAGAAGAGGCCACAAAGATGATTATGGGGCTGGAGCACCCCCCTTCTGAGGACGGGCTGAGAGTTGGGCTTGTTCAGCCTGGAGAAGAGAAGGCTCCGGGGAGACCTTATAGCGGCCTTCCAGTACTTAAAGGGGGCTACAGGAAAGGTGGGGAGGGACCCTTCATCAGAAGGTGTAGGGATAGGACAAGGTGTAATGATTTTAAACTGATATAAGGTATATTTAGTTTAGATGTAAGGAAGAAATTCTTTCCTGTGAGAGTGGTGAGGCACTGGCACAGGTTGCCCAGAGCAGCTGTGGCTGCCCCCTCCCTGGCAGGGCTCAAGGCCAGGCTGGACGGGGCTTTGAGCAACCTGGGCTGGGGGAAGGTGTCCCTGCCCGTGGCAGGGGGGCTGGAACTGAATGATCTTTAAGATCCTTTCCAACCCAAACCATTCTATGATTCTGTGAAAATCTTTGCATGTGCAAGGTACACAGCTGCACCTTTTAACGGAATGAGACGTTACTCCCTCAGATGTCTTTAATTTATAAATTAAAGGGGGGTTGGAACTAGATGATCTTTACGGTCCCTTCCAACCCAAACCTTTCTATGATTGCACGATTTTTACATTTTCTGTTATTTGTAGTGCTTTTAATTGCTAGTTCTGAATGTTTAGCTTCCTATTTAGCTCTCAAGAAAGCACGTAAGAAATTTAATTTTGACTGAGAACACACTTTGCCCATCATATTTGGGTATCATTTTCTGCATATGGAAAAGGAACATGATTCGCTTGTCATATTTGGATGGGTAGAAGAGGTGCATATATTAATATGGTGGTAGTCCCTTTTGAAATAAAGTTCTCTTTGCTACTTAGGAATTTTGCTAAAAATAAAGTAACTTGTAGAAATCTAGGAAAGGGCAGGTCAGATCATACCTGCTAGCATATTAGTTTTCACTTCATGAGTTCTGGTAATTGCAGTAAGGGGATTTATTCCCCTTGAACAGTCCAAACTTCTGACCTTGGGAAGGAAACAGCGTTAGATAAACTTAACCTGCTGTTCCATGATTCTGTGTGTGTGCATGTATATACAGAGATGTGTGCATGTATATACAATGACGTGTGCACATATATACAGACATAGGCATGCATGTTTGGGGATTGTGCTCCTTGCAGGACCCAGCCCTGAAGGGGTTAGGGAGTCAAACTCAAGTCTGGCACCATGATAAAATGCTAATATGATCTAATACGGTCTCCAGAGATCATTTATTTTCGTAGCTTTGAGCAGTTGTGGATGCTATGTGATGCGTTCTCAGAGAGGATAATCCGAAGTAACGAAATGGTATGATGTGCAACACAAAACCATCTCAGTCTCCGATACAGAGAAATTAATGTATTAGTGACCACCAAAGAAATGCCTGAGGGTTCTTTTGATTTTGTTTTTAATTTAAAAACTAAACCTTGGTATCAAAATGTACTATGACTTACTTGTGAGTAAAACAATTTGTATCATAGTACTAACTTGTTTCCTAAGGCTGATAATGCCAAAAATGCTTTTCTGAATTGTCCTACTTTTCAGGGCTAATAATTCATTGCAAGCTCTTGTCAGGCAAGTAGTTTGGAAAAAAAATGTCTTTTTATTGATATTCTATATATGTTTTTAAATGTACCAAATATTTTAAACTATAGGTGTTATTAAATTAAATTTGAGAATCCCATTTAAAAAATGTGTTAACACTGTTTCTAGTGTGGACTGATCTACCATGTTCTAAAGAAACCATGCAAATCATAGAAGGATCATGTTCTTGCTCATGATACAAAACACTGAGTCACAGCTTTCAGTCGGCTAACTGAAAGATATCTCTACATTCTATTGCTTTTTTCAGGAGTTGTTGATATTGGCTTTCTCTGTCTGATGAGAAACACTTTTTTTTTCCTCGTTTAAATCAGAAGCTTTCCTTGCATATGAAAAAAAAAAAGTATTCTCTGAGTAATGTTGCTTATATTTACCTGTGGAATACTGAACATAGTATTTTCCTTCTGGAGTGTTACTCGGCTATTCTGAGAAGTTAAAACATGCTCTTAAGAAATCAAGTACTTAATAGACAGGGGAAAAAGATACAGCAGGGTCCTTTAGTGGACAAATATTTGATGGTTTGCCATACTTAATTGCCTTCTAGTCTTGTGTTGCATGGTGAAATAACAACCATGTGAACTATGTACAAGAACAACTATTGTCTGAGAAGCTGAAAATAGACCAGTTGATCCATTTACCACTTGTAACTCTAGCATCAGGGTAGGTATTTTCAGGGACTTGCTTTTATAATGGCCTTTTTCTGTTCTGAAGTTTTGTACTATTATTATGTCTTGAGGTAAAGTGTAGATTGTGAAAAGGTAAAATGCAGAGTATGGAGCTCTCTGTCCTCCAACAAACTCTGTAGAAACTGAAGCAACTTTTTATTTCCCGATTTCCATTCTGATCAGATTTTCATGTGTTCTGTGCCTGGAAACATTGCTTCTGTCTGCTACTTATTACCATGGGATACAGTAGTTATTCCTAAGTGCATGCAGAATATGCATCTGCTTACCTTCCTATGCTGGATATATTTTATTTCTAATACTTTATTGAATTTTATGGCTGTGTTGGAAAAGGATGATATGGAATAGTCTCCTGAAATAATCTTTCAAGGTCCAAATCTTCCCTTCTGGCCTGCCTTCAGAAATTTCCCCTTCATTGAAATGTTTCCCTATCCACTAGTCTCCACTTCTTCCTCTGAGAAGAAAAAATTATATTTTTACATAGAGGAAAGAACTTTTCTGTTTGCTTATTAATGCCAGGACATCTCCTTGTATGCTTCTTGAGCTTAGCAGTCAACACTGGCTGTGCTTTATTTTTCTTGTACCTTGAACAATGAAAGTCTCTATTACACCCATGAGTTCAAAGTCCCTTCAATTCTGATTTTCAAGAACAATAAGCTAATTCAGAGGTTGGTTCGTTGCTCACATGCTTCAAAACCTTAACCAGCAGAATAAAAATTGACTCTCCATAATGGCAGCCACCAGTAGGTTTACTACTCCCCATGGGATGCACACAAGGTGATAGATCTGAAGTGTCTCAGTTACAGCAGGCTCCTTATTGCAGGTGCATTGAACTCCTGGTGTCTGCTCTGCCACAACCATTAGCAAAAGTCAGTCAGGTGCAGGAAGGGCAGGGAAACACATCAAATAAGCAGACATGTCCCAATGAGAGGTGTTTTCTGCTCTGCCAGTTCACAACACATCTGCAGGGTAAGGACTGTCAGAGAGGCTGCGGTTGAAATGACTTTTGGTTGCATGCAGGATTTACAGATATGAACTAACAGAGAACTTTGAACTGGTAATTGATTACTGGGAGTGCTTTTTGGTGAAAAAGCAAATACATTCCTGACTGTTTCGCTACAACAGCATTGTCCTGATACCCTGTTGCAGGCCACAAACTTTTGATGCTTACACCGTTTCACATGCTATTTCCAGTACTGCATCTTGTGCCCGTAAGCAAGTGGGTAGTGCTGAGTCTAAGTGTGAAAATTAGATTTGAGGTTGATGTGCGTATATGAGATTTTTAACATCTGGAGTTCCCAGTTACACACATGTACCAGTAGTTCGAGACTTTCACAGTTTGTCATAGGCATTAGGAGTACCTTCCTTTATTTTTTTTTTTATTTGACCTGACAAGCTCTGGATGCTTTCGTATTGCTTTTTCATGTTTCATTCACACCTTGAAGACATCCTGAATGTTATGAGTGGTGTAGAGTCAACTGAGTGCTAATTTCTTGTTTCTCTGCTTAAACTGACTTTGCCTTCTTCCAGGTGCCTTTGATAGAATCAGCTCTGATCTAGATTATCTGTCCTGGTTGCCTGAGAGCACCCACCAACACTTAGCCTATGAACTTCAGCAATAGCTGAATACTGGGGCTAATAACTCCACAATTTAATGCCTGCAAGCTGTTCTGTTTGATTGCCAGTGGTCAAACAATGCACTTCTCCTTGTCTAGTCAAATGGAGCATGATTTAGCCAATCCCTAATTATGTTGTTCTGACAAAATACTCTTATTTGTATCTCCCCGAGGATATAAGGATGAATGAACATAGCAAATACTATTTAATAACTATTAGATTGTGGGAATAGGGTAGTTACTACAAAATCCCTGTCTGATACTTACTTTTAGTGATATGAGAAGTGAAGCATAACAATCTCTCATAAGAGTCAGAAACTTTTGAGGAAACTTTTAGATCCTGCTTTTCTTCAAAATTGCCAAATTAGTTTCAAATTTTTCAACGTAAAACTAAAAAATAGTGAAACCAGAGGAAAAAAATCTGTTAAAAAAGTAGTTCAGTTGCTCTGTGCAATTTTACAAGTTGTTTTCACCTGTTTAAATTTTTCCTATTTTGCAGCACATTCAAATCAGTTACTATAGTTTCAGTTTTTTGTAATAAGATAGATTTTTAATTAAAAAAAAGGCATTTCATGCTTTTTGCCAGAAAAATAGTTAAAACTCATTTTTACATACTCTAGTAGAAAGAAAACCAAAGTTATAATAAACTCTCATTTTAATTTTTAGAGGTTGTTAGTTTTCCCTTTGGAGAAACTAATCAAGTACTGCATTTTTATTTCAGCCAAAACTACAGTAAAAACTGTGACATATTTTTCTTGAGATATAATTGATTTAGAACTGCAGGATGTGACTGTTTGGAAGGAAAAATAAGAAAGTGTTGCTATTTCACTAGTTAGAGTAAAGAAAGACCATTTTGTATGAAAGTCTCAGAGGGAAATCTGAAGCTAATGAAAATTTCTCGGGTTGCAACATCTTTTTCTTTCTTTTCTGGTTTTTTTTTTTTTTTTTTTTTTAGACTACAAACTTCTCAAACCATTTAAAAGAGATGTGGCAGACAGGAATTGCTCAGCTTATAAACACCCCTCAAAAGAGGGAAAACAAAATAATACTCTTAGTCTAGCCTAGAAAAGGTAAACTAAATTTATTTTTTTTTCCCTTATGCCTAGGCAGTCTGGGAGAAGAATGTTAACCACTGGCCGCTAGCAGCATATCCTGATTTCTGATCACTTATATTAAAGAAAAATCCCCATTTCAGGGAGAGTGCAAGACTGTGAAAGTAGAGAATACCATACCCCATCTTAAAAAAAGGTAAGGCAATGTTTTTCTGCTGATCCTTTAACACTGTAAGTGATGTCTTCATTTAACAGATAGTTAAGTTGAAAGCAGAAGTGAAAATTTAGATAATAATTGAATGCTAAAGTACTTATTTTAACCTGCATGTTCTAACTTCTAAATTGAAAAAAAAGAGCTTTTTCATGTTAAAGGAAGAATGTAATGCATGTGTTACTGCACTTAAAACTATTTTTTGTGTAGCTTTTGTGTATATTTTGGAAAAAAAGAAAACAAATATTGCACACAACAGCAAATACTTTCTTTCATTTCAACCACTGAAGTTATTCTTAACCATGTAAAGATTTATGTCTCTGGTCTACCAAGCAACTCTCATTCTGCCAAGACAGATATACAGCGTGTTTGTAGAATGCTGCCACTGGGAATTAGTGCTAAGTAATAGTCCACCATTTAGGCTTTTATCAGAACAGATCTGCACTGTTTTCCTTTCTGCCAGGTTTTGGATTGATTGGTTATTTGTAGAATATTTACAACTCTACTGCCTTAGATGCTTCAGTTCTAAGTATTGGAAGAAACTGAAAACAGTTAAAGCATACTGTACTGTGCATGTTTCCTCTGAAAGTGAAATGACAGAAGCAGAGGATTTTTTCCATTCAGCTTTTCTTTTTTTTTGTTGTTTTTTTCCTCTCTCTCTTTTTTTTTTTTTTCGGCCTGGGAAGAACTTTGGAATTGTGAATAATAGGTAATAATTTCTTTCTAGAGCAGCCATTCTGGAATGTGGTCCCAAGGCAAATGTATTCATCAGTGACTTCATCTGCAAATGCCCTACTCTACACTTAATTTCCATATAACTGGGTTCAGTGTCTATCTAATGTAGAAATGCTGTCTTTGCTTCTGCACAAAATAATATGGTTCTGTTATTTGAAGTTATTTATGTGGTTTAGAGAATCTGTCCTGTCTAAGCAATATCACCCTGTAAATTAACAAAGACACTTAGTTAACTAAAAGTCCTGCCTTACTTGTGACTGTCTTGACAAAATGTACATTTGACTGGTGTGAATGATAAGCAGATGTCATTGACAACTCTTCTGAAATGATCAGCCGGAATGCATTGGCTTGTTTTTAAGAAAAAAAGGTTCTGTTTCCTTGAGATGGTCATAGTCACGAGGGCATTTTTCTACCATAAAAACCTATTACACCTCAGCTGAAGGTACACAGGTGTTTTTGAAATACCGATATATGAGATGTTGTCTGTTATGTGTTATGGGTAGGATATGTTCTTTATTTTTCAAAGCAGGAAGATAACAAAGTGTGCCACCACCAATGGAATGTGCTTTGTGAATGCAGGATGCTTCCTACCTGCTCTTAACTCCTATTTCCATGCCACTTGTGTGTAAGGATTACAGGTTATGAGCTATCTTCTGTTTCCTTCTAATAGACTTCATTTTTGCATGCCATACAGCAGTTTTCAAATAGCAGATTTTATACTTTGGCAAGTAAAACACAGTACCGATTGCCTTAAAATACAAATATTCAAAGAGCAGTCAATGAGGGTGGTCAGCTACAATATCATCTCCAGATTGGCTAACACAAATTTCATAAATGACGTATGTGAGATATACATTTCTGTATAGAATTTGCATATAATTTTTCTTCCAAGATAATTAAAACTAGTTTTTTTTCTGCCAGTGTACCCAGTGTTCTTTTGTAACCCACCCCCATATCCTGTTGTTACAATATTTTGCTTTTTACTGCAGAAAATAAAACCAGAACTTTAATAGGAAATAATTTGTACTGCGAGTAGAGATTTTGCTTTATCCATATGATTCTCTTTGTTGTAAATCATTTGTAAATGTTGTGTTAGTCAATTTTGGAACAAGTTTACTGAATTTTAATATATTTTTTTTTCTAAAACATACATTTTTTTCTAGCTCATTCTACCATTTCATATTTTATAGGCTAAAATGCTTACAGCTTCAGACTATTTATTAGTGAACCTATATTGCCTATTATTATTAGCGAGCCTATCCATAGGCTTCAGTTTTCCTTTAAGGCACACTTTTTGTTTTCATTTTTTCAAAAAAGTGGAAGAATAGAAAAACCTTTGGTTTATATTCTGTTAAAGTTTCTGATTTCATTTGTATCATCCAAAGCTGTTTTTTCTCCTCTGCTCCATTAATTTCTCATTCTCCTCCTTTTGCCTCTCTTGTTCTTTATGTTTACTCAATTCAGATTTCTTTCTTACAATAACTGATGACTATGGATACATTTGATTGTGTTCTTTCAGTCACTTTAGTGGAAGTACAAACTATTAAGTAAGTCACTGTGCAGTAAGTAGCTATTGAAATAATCTATTTCCTTATTTTCATGAAGAAGAGGTTCTGCCAAGAAGACAGAGACCTTGGTTTAGTCAACATTAGGTTGTAGCATTTGTTCATGATTAATTTTCTAGATTTCTAGACTTTTTTTGTGTTACACTTGTAATGAATTTTAGTGATAATTAGAATAAGCCTCAATGTGAAAAGTCCCTTTATCTGTGAACCTTCTACATATTATTAAGGTGAATGAATTAGTTGTCCTCTCAAATTTATTATCACAAAGCCAGCCAGGAAGTCTTTCAGTGTAAACGGACTCTGATTTTATGCTCTTCTGCAACTCAGCCCTAGCTTATTTCATGCAGAACAATGTCATGTCCTCATTCTAGCCCAGTGCAGGAGTGACCCCACGTACCAGAGAAAGCTTCTCATTTAATCCGTGGTTTTCTCACTTGGTGCCTCTGGCTGTGTGGGGCTGGGACCTGGGGTAGTGAGCTGTAGAGCTCAGCTAGCTCCATGCTTACTCCACGTGGAAAACTCCTCTGAAAACTCCTCTGTGCTTACTATAGCCACATCTGCCCACTGCATGGCTCTCCCCAGTATGTGTCCTACTTAGAAAGAACCAACTTCTTTGTCTCCTCTGTGACTGAAGAAGAACAGCCAAGAAGATGTCCTGAGAGTCACAGCAATCTGAAATGATGTTCACAGTTCCATGGAAAGTATTTTCTGATATGTAATTACCTAATTTGTTCAGAATATCACGCTGTCTGCAGAACCACACAGAACTTTGAAGCAGGGGTTGAAAACTCAGGTGGTTAAATCCATCTGCTGATCTTCATAGGGCAATAATTTCAGTAAAAGTTCTAAAGATTTTGATGATCTAAAAACTATGCTGTAAATATCAAATACTTGTTTTGTATATCATTTGGGGAATCTCATGGTTTTGTGTATTTCTGTAGCCAACATGTAGTCAATTAGAGGCTACCAGCTTCTGAGTCTAGGTGTTTAGTCCTTCTCTTTCTAAGAGTTGTAAGATCCATGCCTAGTATTTACCAGGTTGGTAGCCTGTAAGCTTTTCAAAGTTGAGAGAACTGTTTTTTTTGTTTGTTTTTTTTTTTTTTTTAATTATTACTGTCAGGGAAGTGGGAGGGCTGTAGGTAGGTCTGTTATAATGTGGAAGCTACACCTGACAATTTTGGGATCTCCAAGAGAGCCTGGAGACAGTGAAGTAATTGGCAAAAGCTCCTCTATAGGAATGTCCTTTGAAAGGAAATACTGTCATACAGAAGAACAGAGTTATTCTTGATCAACTTGCTTTAAAATAATGGTAAGACATAAATTAAAAAACAAATAAACAAAACAAGTTACCATGTCACATTTTTCGAGTTCCTTAAACCTCTCAATATATAAATTAGCTAGTTAACTTTTGCTCTGTTTCCCCAGGAAGCTACCTAATATGCAAAAACTTGTCTTGATAATTTTTCAAGAACATTTTTTTCTGCTTTTACTTCCCTCAGATAAGATGGATGGTATATCTATGTTGAAATCAGATCAGTATTTGTGTTCAGCCTCCAGATGCCTATATGTTTTCGAATCTTTGTGCTTAATATAGAGTAAGAGTTTTAGAAAAAATGCATAAAATAGCTTCTAAGGCAGAGCTAGTTTTTGTGAAATTATTACATTGAAATAATATTGCTTGGTTCTAATTAAATCTGTTTCTTTATTTTAATTACCAAGTTATAATTGGAATTGAGGTTTTTGTTCCTTGTAGTTCCAAGCAAAATTTCCATGCTCACAAGAAGTGTTTTGGAGCAGCTTGTATCTCAAAATGGGGCCTAGACTGTGAAGCTTGACTGATTGTTTAGTTCTTTCAATGTGTTCAGAATTTCTTGTGTCAAGTCAATTTTTCACAAGGCCAGGAGCCATGTTTGCAAAATTTAGATCAGTTTCTGTTTGGATTTTTATTTTTGTGGTCCTCCCAATGACAGGAGTTTATGCAATTAATCCAGGTTTAGTTAATCTGTAGGTTTTGTTCTTTTGATTTCTTCTGTACTGAATTCTGAGAGAATATCAATGAAGAGGACCATAGGCAAAATTACCTGAGGGCAAAAGATGATTTATGCTTCCTCTAGTACTTTTAGAATTGGGTCAATTAATGGATTCCCTATAGTTATTTTTTGTATGGCTGACCCTACATTAGAGTTTTAAAGTTCAAATTTGGATCTTAAGAGTACTCGGGAATTCAGGTTTGTAGGTTTGGGACAGGCAAAAACTGACACAAATCCTGATTTGACTTTGCTAAAGTGGTATTTGTATTTGTGATGTCTTGACTTAAGTGTCCAGCACTGGCTAAATAACCTCAGAAGCCCTAATTCAGGAAAGGAGAATCACATGCTTAATTTTAATATGATTTAGTGCTTCCTTGGGCTGGAAACTCACTATATCCCTAGACTTTAGTGGCTGACCAGTATGGAGAGAGGTAAAGGTGTTAGGAAATTCTAAAAGGAAAAGACAACCATGTAGATATCAGAGCTAATTATGAAATGGCACGTTAAATTCAGTACCAGCAATGGACTTACTATCTGGTCTGTATTCAAAGATTTGAAATTCCCTGTGGCCTTCCTTTCCTCCATCTGAGTGAATCTCTGATGAAATGCAGCTCAGAGACTTGTGCAACTTTTAAAAAGCTGCCCATATGTGCTTTGTTATTTTTACTTCATGTTTCACTACATTCCTTGATCTTCTTGGAGATCTGCGATGTCCTGAACTGGCAGTAGGCAGGCAAGTCTTCAAGACAAGGTCTTTCTTCAGCTCCATCATCTTTATCATTAAATACAAAGGGGAGCTGAACTCTCCTGTCATGGTTGGATAATGTTTCCCACTGCAGGGTCCTGTTAGGGTTGCTAATTTTTGTTTATACAACTCAGCGTAAAACAATGTCACATAGTGCTGTTTTGTATCTTATTCTTCTTCCATATTGCATATGTTATTGACTAGAAGTAAGACTTCTTCCCCCAAGAAGAATGGTTCCAGAGATGAAGCAAGTATTTATTTAAAGTATTTATTATACAAATAATAATTATTATTATTATTGTTGTTGTTGTTTAAAGTGTTTATTATACAAATATATAATACTATTAGTTGTTTCTATTAGTGATCAGAGGAAGGAATACAGGAAGTAAGATGGAAAACGTGTTCTGCACAATGTGACTTTCTTATTACAGGGCTCTGATTCCTTGGACGTGTGACTTACTGGTGCTGCTGCATTTTATTATGAAGCACAGCTATAATTTTCAGATATTAAAGATTTCATAAAGTAATGACTGTTGTACCTTCACAATAGTGCTATTTCATTGTTCCAAAGCAGCCTAAAGTGTAAGACATTTTACTGCATGAAAGATGATTTAAAAATAAGCTAAGCTTAATCTCGTGCTTGATTTCAAAATCTTAGTGGTTATATAAATGTGTTGTGCTGTGCTTCTTGTTTCAGTAACATTTGAAAAGCAAAACAAAAACACCCACAAAAAAACATGGCTGCAGCTGAAAGTGATACTAACCAAAATGTTCACTCTGAGGTACTGAGTACTGATGATTCAGGTACTGTAAAAATAAACTGCTTTTTTGGTTGCAAATTAAAGAGACAGAACACATTTTCATTTTATTTACAGAGGAAGCCTCTTCCTTCCTCATAAACTACAGCAAGGAATCTGCTTATGCCCGTGTCTAGAATCTGTAGAGCTGACCAGACTGGTCTTGCAGTTCCTTCTTACTACAGAAAGGTCTCCCAGGGTCTTTCGTGCATGGTCTGCAGCATACTTGATCGCTTAAGCTCGCAAGATCCAAGTATTTGTACAGGAAGTCTAAGTTACAGGGTTTTACAGCAGGATTTGATGTAGTGTTTTCTTCCTTGTTTCCCTTTCTTTTTTTCTTTTTCCCCATTATTTTAAACTGTAGCAATGTTCAGCTTTATTCGAGCATTCTGTGAATAAAAGAGTCCTAGAAACTAGCTCTAAG